CAGTTTGACTGACAACTATCCTTCCAAACTGATAATAATGTCATTACTTGTGTTAATTGTTGGCAGCGGCAGTTGCGAACTTGGTATTTTTGGGATCATTGTTGCAGTCTGTTGGTACTGTGTAAAGAAATCGAGGAAAGCATTACCTGAGATACTCGGTGAAGTGAAGACAGCAACTGTTACTACGTCGAGTCAGCCGCAGCATGTGGTTCCAATTTGGGAGGTTGATGCGCCCACCATGGGGAAATTTTTGCAAGAGTTTGCCAGGGATAAGCCGGTGAGATTCACTGCTCAGCAGCTCTGTGCCTTTACAGGCAATCACTCAACCAGGTTGGGATCTGGAGGATTTGGGGTTGTTTACAGAGGGCAGTTTCCCACTGGAGTGAAGATTGCAGTGAAGGTGCTCGAGAAAGGTTCTGAGAGAGCAGCAGGGGAGCAGTTCATGGCAGAGGTAGGCACAATCGGAAAAAGATACCATATTAATTTGGTTAGAGTTTCTGGTTTTTGCTATGATCAATATATGAGTGCGCTTGTATACGAATTCATGGAAAATGGATCGCTTGATAAATACTTGTTTGGGGAGAAGGAGATGACTGGGTGGGAAAAATTACATGAAATAGCGGTAGGGACAGCCAAAGGGATTGCCTACTTGCACGAAGAATGTTAATAGAGAATCATTCACTCTGATGTAAAGCCTGGAAATGTGCAGCTTGATGAAAAATTCTTCCCTAAAGTTGCTGAATTTGGTCTTGCAACGCTCTGCAACAGAGATAGTACTCCCGTTTCAATCACTGGATACAGGGGAACCCCGGGTTACTCTGCCTCGCAATTCTTACTTAGGAATCATCCCATAACATACAACTGTGATGTGTATAGTTTTGGAATGGTTTTGTTTGAGATAGCTGGGAGGAGGAAAAACACGGTTATTAGTTCCTCTGAAAGGCTTGATTGGTTTCCAAAGCATGTGTGGGAAAAGTACGAGAAGGGGGAATTGACTGAAATGACAGTAGATTGTGGGATTGAAGAGAAGGATAGGGAAAAAACAGAGAGAATGTCCGTGATTGCATTGTGGTGTGTTCAAGACTCACCAGAGGCTAGGCCACCAATGAATGCGGTGGTGAAGATGTTGGCAGGAGGAGTGGAGATCAAGCCGCCTCCTAAACCTTTTCATTATCTATTCTCAGTAGTCAGTAGGGATGAATGCAGTCAAGCCAACTGCTGGTTCAAGTTTCTCCTTAAGTGAAGAATCCAACTCTTATTGGTACAAAGAGACTACACCCATCATGTCCAAATATGAAATCCAAGTAGCTAGTAGTTAAGAATACTAGTAAAATCTAGTTTTTAGAAAATGTATGTTTTGTTTTATTTATTTATTCATTTATTTTTTGGAGCAGTAAAGGTAGTTTATTATTGTCCAGATTATAAGGCAGTGGCGGAGCCAGGGCGGTGCGGGGGGGGGGCGCTCGTCCTCTGAAATTTGAAAATTTTGTAAATTAGTATATGAAAAATTTTTTAGCTCCCCCTGAACTTTGAAAATTTTAGTATTTTGCCCCCCCGAAAAAAATTTCTGCCTCTGCCCTTGTTATAAGGGTTAATTTGTTGTTATGATGTAGTGTATTATGAAGTTTCTCATTTGTTGTCTAGCTCACAAAATTCTAAATTTCATTTAATTTCTTGATACAATGCTACAGAAGATAAAGCTGCAACCTCCAACATCTCTTGTTATGATTGCCTAGGTTGTTGCCTATGTGTAATTCAGTATAATTCGATCATACAAGGAACCAAAGATAAAATATTTTCTTTAACTTAATTTGTCCTTTCCTATTAGTCTACTTGTGGAAAGGCATTCCTTTATCTAGACGTGTAAGGAAAAGTCTGTATTACACATGCATGTTGCTTAATCCAAGGAAATGTGCTTGATTTTACGAATCATCTAGTCATTGTATATTTGTTGCAATTGTTTGTGTCCTTGCTCGGACAAGTCAGCCGCAATATGCAGTTCAAGTTTGGGAGGTTGTTGCACGTGCCGAAGCTCTTTGCCTTTACCAGCAATTACTCTATCAGGTCCGGGTCTGGAGCATCTAGGGTTGTTTATAGAGGGCAGTTTCCCTATGGAGTCAAGATTGCAGTGAAGGTGCTCGAGAACAGTTTTAAGAGAGTAGCAACGAAGGAGGATGCAATGAAACTTTGAGATCGTAGCAGTGCCAATCGGACTACTGTAATGAAGCCTTTCTTTTGAACCCTCATTGAATTCCTTCTTACATGCGTTGCAAGTTAACCCCGACATTCTTCCTAGTTTGTTTTCCAATTAAATCTCAAAAATTGCGTATATTCAAAGAAACCTATTGTTTACATAAATTGTAAATATATTTAATGATGCTATGTGTCATATTATTTGAATAAATAGTTATGATTAAGTCACATTAGACATCATATTACTATGATCTAGAGTATGACAGACTTTACTAATGATTGCACATGTTCAATTAGATTTGGTGTTTTCTATAGTTATCTCATATTTATCTAGTGGTATTTAACATTAGTGGAGATCGTGGGTAAATTTTAAGAGAAGTCACAGGCCAAGTTCAGCAAGCGGGTAAGGTGACAAACAAGTGGTAAGTTCTGGATAAGGGTTTAACCAAGTTTGTTGCTTAGTTGCCTAACTATCTTAGAAAGTTTGTTGTGTTCTGCACAAATGGAAGTGGGTAATAGATGAAAGTACGTGGTTATTATCTATCTTAAGACATAAGAAAGAAAAATTTAGAATAAACAATATACGACTAATTTTATATACAACTCAACAAATTCAACTTTCTAATTTCCTAGGTATTGTTTACACAGCTCACATACCTTAGTTTTAATACAACTATTAGTCAAATTTAGGTTAGTTCTATCTTCTATAATAATTTATTTGTTTATTTAGTGATTTTCAGATAAGTATCATTCCCTCATGTCAACTTATATGGCTTTTAAGTCTCTTATTCATATTTATGTTAATTTCAATCTGATTTGCCTACTCATCTTGATAACTTAGTTTTATTCTAGTTTCAAGCCCATTTACTTTTTTTTTTTTTAGTTCTGTAATGATTTAGTTTAATCTATTAATAGTTTTGGTAGTTAAATCTTTTGGTACATTTAGATGTAGGCTCATTTGTTTCACTCGTTTTAGTTATTGTGAATCTTTAAACTTTCAATTAACAGTGATATTTTAAAGTTTTTAGAATTGTCCAAAATAGATCAATAATTTATTCTATAAAAAAGCATTCTTCTTACTTACAAATCATTTAAAGGTATAAAACTCAATTTTAAAGTAACATTCTTTCAACTATTTTAATAGAAATCAACTTCGTGAAAGAAAAAAATTGTGAAAAAACCCTACCTTCTCATTTTTTTTTTGTATTATTTTTTTGATATCCGATAATCATATTAAATTTTAACTAATTCAAAATCGATTCTCGTTGAACCTCATTTGAAGAAAAACTCTTTCAAAAATCTATTTTTTTAATCATAAAATTCAAATTTAAGATTTAAAAAAAAAAATCAAATTCTTTGTATTAGGCTAACAACTCGGTGATACCTTCTCACCATTTTATAAAAAAGTGGCGAGTTTGACATCCAAAGATCCCACACGTGACGCCGCTTGAAGGTTTTTGTGAAAACACCTACATAGATTTTAGTTTATAGGGAATACGAGATTGTGGGGTCAGTCCTGAGAGGAGGTTTATGACTGGCGGCTCGAACT